TTCGACTGCTTAACTTTATAGTTTTAACATTGCGCGTTCTCGCAATTGGGGGGAGAAATGTTCATTTCTGAACAAATCAATAGAACAAGGGCTAAATCTCAGCAGATCGTAGTACAAGACTACTCTCATGCTTACAACACCCCGTTCTGTAGTTAAGTCGTCTACAAAGGATTTATCTTTCCCAATATTTGAAATTACAAATCAGCCTACTCTCCACCGCCAGTACTTGACAGGCAGCGGAGTGCGTTGCAATTGTATGATGTTGGGTGTCCAGAAGACACCTATCGCTATTCGCGGCACATCGGGAAAGGTGATTATCGTCTATTCCAGCATGGATTCTGACTTAGAGGCGTTCAGCCATAATCCTACAGATGGTAGCTTGGCGGCACTAGCTTTTCAGCTAACCGCAGTTACCAATTATCTGAACCAACGGTTCCTCTCGTACTGGGTTGGATTACTGTTTAGACAACGAACTCATCAGTAGGGTAAAACTAACCTGTCTCACGACGGTCTAAACGGGCGGAAGACCGAAGATGAAGTCCATCGAAATCGAGCGCCAGGCTTCCGTGGCGACTAGAAGAGGGCGCAATGGGGTTGAGACGTCGAAGACGGTTTGACTCGCTGGCAAGTTTCACTTGTGCGGACCCACTTGCGTACCCACTTGTACATGTGCGGGCCAATAGAAGTCTCTCGACAGAGCCGCGTACGTCTTCTCGCGACCGAGATGTCCTCCAGTCGGGGTGTCATGATACTCGTGGATTATGCGCGCACGTAGATCAGCGTCGTTTGGGACGACGACTCGAGGTCCATCGAACCTGTCGATGCTGTACTTGAGCAGATTGCCGTCCAGTCGGTATCGATCGATCTGATTCCGCGTGGTCTTTGACAGGGCACTTAGCGTGTCACTACTAGGAGCACGCAGGTGCTTCATGATGGCACCGTATATAGGGTCATCATCGTACGCTGTGGCAATCTTGTCGCCCAGCGGGAGCGTGGGCGTGGTCAACGTCAAGTTGATGCCTGACGACACGCAGACCGCACATTCTTCGTCGTCCTCATCAGCCAGCTGATGTCCTAGCGCTTCACGGGGATCGTAGTCCGGACGCCGAGACAGCGCGTCGGCGAGAATGCTATTCTTGCCCGGCTTGTAGTGAACAACGAAGTTGTACTCGGAGAAGAAGGACAGCCAACGGGCCATCCGTTGCGACAAGTGAGGGCTCTTCATCGCTGTCTGCAGCGATGCGTGATCAGTGTAAGCCGCGAACGACTGTTCACCGAGCAAGTACACTCTGAATTTGATCAGAGCGTACCGCATTGCCAGGAGCTCCTTGTCGTGGACTGGGTAATTCTTCTCGGCTGGCTTCAGTTGGCGCGACTGATAACTGATAACGCGTTCGTGTTCGTCATCATCGAACTGCATCAGCGCACAGCCGATGGCAAAATCGCTCGCGTCGCAGACGACGTGGAATGGCTTTGAGTCATCAGCAAGCTTCAGGATCGGCGCAGACGCCAAGCCCTTCTTCACCGAGTCGAATGCAGCTTGGTGGTCGGATTTCCACTCCCAGATCATATCTTTCTTCAGCAGCGAGGACAGCGGCTGGATCAACCCAGCGTAATTCTTCGTGTACTTGTGCAAGTAATTGGCCATGCCAAGCCACTGACGCAACTCAGTGGGGCTTGTCGGCGTTGGCCAAGCACAGATAGACGAAACCTTCTCGGGATCCGCGCGCACACCGTTCTTGCTCACGTAGCATCCCAACACCGGAATCTCCGGTGCGCAGAAGACACATTTCTTCAGGTTTGCGTAGAGCTTGTTCTCTCGCATCACCTGGAAGACTTGTCTCAGGTGTTTCAGATGTACGTCCACGGCACTGAGGT